AATAACACATGTAAAATATCACTGATTCAACATATGACACCAAACAATAACACATGTACAACGTATGACACCAAACAATAACATATGTACAACATATGACACCAAACAATAACACATTTACAATATATGACATTAACCAGTAATGCTAGTACAAAAAAGGATGTCACTGTACATGACAGAATAAAGTTCAAAATTTTTATAGCCTGTCATAAACAATTGTTATAACCATAGTTACAGATTATGACTCTTATTAAGCATGGAAGCACACAGAATATAACGTGTACAGCATACAAAAATACCCGAGACCCAGACTAGCAGCACGTGGGTAATGAAGTAGGCTAAATCCCACTCCTATAACACACACACACACTATATACACTTCCTAGATAACACAACATCGACATGCCTAGATCTTGTGAACTTACAAATGGAGTTAGCCAGGGGACTGTAAAAAGCATTGACAACAGCAGCTCCAGTTATCCACCTGGAAAAAAAAAAAGAGATTCCATGAAGATTTTAATTTTGATTACCCAGAAAGCTCTTCTTGGGAACAAAAGTTTCTCAACTTAATAATATTTTTGATAAAAATCACAGAAGAGATAAGGTTGGAATGATTGCCCTAAAACAAGACCCCTATCGGGAACTATAAATACTGTAACACTTACTAAATCAGTTATACTCATGATGTTAGGAAAAAAACACGTAGGTTCAAGAAATCAATTTTACACACACGCACAGAAAAAAATACGATATCTTATACCCGAGCGTTTTTGAAAGGTTCATCTTATTCAGGGGCAAAATAAGTCACTATTTCTTTTGAGAATATCTCGTTCATCAGCGAATGAATTGTCATTATTGTAAGATCATTTGATCAGTTATCAATTTGTCTTTGTTTACAGGTTTCTGTTTGTTGAACTGGATCTATAAAATTGTCCTAAGATATTTTTAATCATATCGTAATTATTCCTTATGATCTCTTGTATGAAATTACCTTCTATAATGGCGACAATGAATGATATCTTTTGGAATCTTAATTGATTTTATGTTGTTAAGCATTTGAGTAAAATTCTGAGTAGTATTCCATACGAGGGATTTCTCCTAAAATACGTGCTATTGACTGAATGTCTTCAATGTTGGAGTATAAATGCCTTCACTGGTGAGGTATAAATACCCGAATATCTTCATTTTTGGAGAATAAATGCCTGAATGCCTTTCCTGGAATGCTTTCATTGTTGGAGTATAAATACACATCGTTTAAGCTAAGTATAGTAGTGTGACGACATATGGATTGCGTTGAACCTCGTGTAATTAACTTAAGTACTTAAGGCCTCCGAACAGATTGCTTGTTCGTTTCAGATATTCGTACAAAGCTAAACAAAGGCTATCTCCGCTAGTTATCCTTAATTTTGAAGAGATAGACTAAAGTGAAAATATCTAGTGATTAGAACCCATCGCCAACTTTTGAACTACTCTAATCAAAAAGTGAAATTTCACTGCTACTCTTAAAACGCACCCATGGTCTCAAAGTGCGGAGTGCGATTTTTTTTTGCGATACCGGAACTCGAACCATGAACCCTCAGATTCACAGCCCATAATGCTGAACCCCCAGGTCACACCCAACCCGATTTGAATAGACATTAATGATAATAAGCAATGGTTTTTTTTTTGAAGCCGCTGTGACTTTTCAGTTTGGGTGGGATCAAAGGGACTCTTGAGTTTTTATTTTGGAGATGAACCGCTAGGTTTCTTTTCGCAATGCATTAATGACATTTCCTGCATTTATCCTAATTACAAGATAAAAATTGTTTAAAATCGTTTTTGAATTCTTAGAATATCGGGATATAGTAATAATTACGTTTGTCCAATAAGCTTTCCATTATGACACCACATAAAGGTAGCAGAATATCTTCACATTTGGGGACAATTCATTCCTTTTTTATTTTAAGTTTCTTTGAGTTTATGTTATTTATTCAAACTTTATATCGGTCTCTTAGAATAAAACCAATATGTTTGTTTGTTTGAAGTGAAGCACATAGCTAAGCAATGGACTATCTGTGCTTTGCCCACCACGGGTATCGAAATCCATTTTCTAGCCTTGTAAGTCCGCAGACACACCGCTGTGCCACTGGGGGACAAAAACTAAAATGTGCAGCGTATTGCACCAATGACAAAATACCAAAATAGCGGGTTTAGCATGGCCTGGTGGTTAGGGCGCTCTACTTGCAATCTGAGGGTGGCAGGTTCAAATGCTCGTCCTTTCAACCGCGGAGATGCTATAATGTTATGGTCAATCTCACTATTCGTTAGCCAAAGAGTGGCCCAAGAATTGGCAATGAGTTGTGTTGACTAGCTGCCTTCCCTCTAGTTTGTCTGTCATGATATTAAAGACTGTTTAGTTTAGATATTATTGATTGGTTTGTTTTCGTGAGAGGATATTTTATTATTGTTTAGTTTTTGTTATAATAAGAGTTAAAAGCAGACGACTGTAGGAAGTTTTGTTAAAAATTCATTGATGTTGAGACTATTGAACGTCGCGTGCAATAAATACACTGACGTCGAGAATATAGAAGGTGGACAGACAGTTAGGCGATAAAGATATAAATAGCGGGAAACGGCAAACAGATAATAGCAGAATAAAGTAAAGTTATGAAAGGAAAGGTTAATTACCGTAGAAGTGATAGGCCTAACGATTGACATAGGCCTAACGCTTAATATGTTAGAATAAGACTAACAAGAGATAGTAAGAAGAATTATTCAGTTAAAGTGTGGTTCTAACGTAATTGAATCAGCCTGGGTACACTTTGACAAAAGGAACAGAGGATCTTCAGAAGAAAGAAGACCAAACGAATTACGGTAACTTGCGCCACAACTGTAAGTGAATCACACAGAATACTAGTAGTAGTACGATAGTAACATAGAGAAGATAGTTCAGCTTATCAACTGAAATTCTAAGTATTGATTAAACCTAAGTGGACTTTTGACAAGAAGAGAACTATATATAAATAGTGTTTATGATATGCCTGTAATATCTATGATGTTGAGGAATTTATTGTACATACGTTTAACTTGTTCCGAGTATATATATATATATTATTTTGCAAACAAGTGAAGTGCGTTCTGTAAATTTATCGTTGAATTTATCGCTAACACCTACAGTAGTCACAGACACCTACTGTAGAAGAATCCTAAGTCCAACAACATGTTATATATTTATACTATTAAGAAATATAACTAAAGACTATTATTTTGACAATTGGCAAAGATCATTTTTTAAAATTCTGACACCGTCACTACTAAATTATAGACAGGTAGCGTGTAGCTTTTCGCTAAATTCAACCCAAACCAAAACAGCGAAAGCATATTAATCAAGACCCCCCACCTCCAAAAAAAATCAATGGAATTCAGTACAAAGTATAACAAATGTAAATTATGTCATTTACAAGGAACCAGTCTATAAAAGCGTAAATGAATCTCGCATAAAAATAGTTAATAAATTCAACCAATACTAATCAAGAACAACGAATAGCAGTTAAGAATTAATGTTTAATAAGTACTGATTATTGTGATTTACAGCCTCAGAATTACTCGATATTAATTTAGTCTCAGAACTACTCGGTAGTGAGATTGCATCGGAACTACTCTATATTAATTTAGTCTCAGAACTACTCGGTAGTGAGATTGCATCGGAACTACTCGATATTAATTTCGTCTCGGAACTACTCGGTTGTGAGTCTGTATTGGAATTACTCGATATTAATTTCGTCTCGGAACTACTCGGTAGTGAGACTGTATCGGAACTACTCGATATTAATTTCGTCTCGGAACTACTCGGTAGTGAGTCTGTATCGGAATCACTCGATACTATTTCCGTAAAGATTTCTATTATTTAAGTTTGGGTTTTATTGAACAAAAGACCCAGAATTCATATTATTGTGTAATAAAGTTTTAAAATTTGTGGTTTCTTTGAGCAAATATTAGAATCTAGAATTGTACATAACGTGAAATTTCACTTGAAATGTGATATTGGAAGAAATATAGCTGGCTTCTCTATGTATATACATAAATTTTGAGAAATTCGCAGCAATTTTTTTACTTATTTTTCTATAAATATATTTGTTGCAAAGTTTGCTACGAGTTTTTCCTTACCTAAAAACAAACAAAAAAACAGCCCCCCCAGTGGCACAGCGGTATGTCTGCGGACTTACAACGCTAGAAACCGGGTTTCGATACCCGTGGTGGGCAGAGCACAGATAGCCCTTGTGTAGCTTTGTGCATAATTAAAAACAAACGAACAAACAAACAAAAAACAACAACAGACTTAACATTCCGCCCCTTTTCAAATCACTTTCACCATCTAATTTAAAGTGATCTGTTATTGTTGCCCTCCAGTGGCACAGCGGTATGTCAACGGACCTACTACGCTAGAAACCGGGTTTCGATATCCGTGGTGGGCAAAGCACAGATAGCTCATAGTGTAGCTTTGTGCTTAATTATAAACAAACAAATAAATGTTGTTGTTTTTAGTTTGTGGTCCTTTTTTATTAATATTTATTTCAATACACTGCCAAAAATTTGAAATAATAAAAATTTTTCCATAGGCCTAAAAAAGAGCTAATACTTCAAAAACTCATAACATTTTAATTGTTTCTGGACCTCGCTGTGGAACTAAGAAGTATCGAGACCTTCATCTGATTAGTGGGCCTGATAAAATATCTTAGATTAGGCACTGCCATTTCTGTACTAGCACTTACTTTTCACGGTCGTATGGTTTATCCAACTGCTTGAGACCTTCTACTGATAAAACTCCTAATATTTTGATGTAATCATTAAAAAAGTTTTCGGTTGAAATATCCTTGATCTATATAAAAACAAATGTATGTTATAATAGCTAGAACTCATTCTTATAGAAAGAATTTGATCATAATTTTTATTATAAAAATGAAATGCGACTTTTGGGCAACTTTTTCTAATAGCTTTATGAACGCTTTTTTGTTTTGTTTTGCAAGTCCTGTATTATTTCATTATTTCTATATACTAATTCTACAGCTAACCGACTAAGTTCATTACGTGGAAAGCAATTAATTACGAATGTATATTATATATATATATATATATTGATTTTAATATTTACTTTTAGACGCTCGCTAGTGGGAGTTTTACAACACGTACGTCAGTGACTAGAATTTTCTTGAGAGGATAGAAATAATTGAACACTATCGCTTGGTCAGCGTCATTTATGCTATAGAACGTGAATTATGTAGAATTGTCAGTTGAAAAAATAAGACACTTTCATTTCGTTAAGTGGACTGGACTTTTCATTATTTTAAACAAATAATAATAATAAAAACACCCCACCCAACAATAGAAACCGTTATAACAATATTATTTTTGTCTTCTTAATCATTATATCTATTAATAATCATTGTGCTTCCTTAGAGGCATTTAAAAATGCTCTATAAGTTATATTCAATAGTTAAATGCAATAAAATGGTTCTAGAATTTGTTTAGCTACGTAATTATCATCATAAGAAATGTAATTCAGTATATTAGATATAATTATGTTCATCAAAACTAATATTACAACACTTTGTGTAAATTAGATCTAAGTAAAAGCTACAGTTTATAAGTAAGCACTCACCTCTTCAAAATATTTATTTAACTCATCATCATTTTTTATCCATTCTGGGTACCCAATGTTGTCAATCATCTGGTCTGCCTGCAGTTCACAAAAAATGTGTTAGTATCAACTAATTGGTTTCTAAAATGCACCAAAGACATTGCATGAAGTTGGAAATTTTCGATGCAGATAAACTTCTATGAAAAGCTAAAATATAATGTTAATGCAGTATTTATAATAACCTTAGGCTTAGGGAATAAATGTGAAATTTTCATTATCTTTTCGAACAAGCATATTACGAATTTATAATTTAATTAACAATACTGCTTAAAGTATAAATTACTCAGAAACTATATTTTATAAATGCAAATTGCTATTCAAATAAACATTGCCTCACTGTTATGCAATACTTTTGGTTTTAGTATTTACACGCTTGTAAACCTGTTCATGCTAACTATTCAACAACGTAGTTTCAAGGATCTTTTTGGAAGTATAGACATGGAACAGTTTTGGCTTTAATGAACTGTTCCTGTCTGTTTCTATAGTGGAGAGATGTTTCGGCCTGAAGAAGGCTTCACTATAAAAGCCGAAACGTAGTCCTGTTTTGTAAACAGACAGTAGCAATCCACTAAAGACAAAACTTTGTAACACATTGTTACATCTCTGGTCGTTTGTTAATTTCCCGTAAAAATTCCTTCCGAAAAACTTCAGCGATGCAAGTCCTTTCTTAAGTAAAACTAGTTTATTCTTTCTCAATACAACT